GCTTTCAGACTCAACACATACTTTAAGCCCCCAGCATTAGTCTGTAGAAAAAGTGACCTTTGATTCAACATAGTTAAACTTTCAAAAGGCTCAACCACTTCGGCCCTTTCTTGCTGACACAAAGTCAGGAGTTATATTATTAAAACTGATGTTTTATGTCTCTCTTTCCCTCAGGTACCAGGAATGCCATCCTGAATACGGAGGCTCGTACTGTAGAAGCAGAGGTATTAAGTCGCCGCTGTGTAATCATGCGGCTTGCAGACTTTTCCTACGAAGAGTATCAGAAAGCGCTTCGACAATCAGCAGGAGCTGTGGTCATCATCCTGCCCAAGAACATGTCTGCTATGCCGCAGGACATAGTTCAGGTGATAACAAGTTGTAATGCTACACATCAAAGCCTTCTGCTCCCTTCATCCTCAACTGTTTCCACTTTAAATGTGTAAAAATCTATGATGTCACAGTGCGGTACTCTGTGGATTCAATATTACACGCTTGGCTGTACCTCCAAAAGAGCTTTTGAAATGATGCATTTGGCAGTGAGGGCTACCTGTGATATGTGGGCATATTTTTTTTTAAAGAAAATGTGCAAACGTGGTTTTGCAATATTTAAAACTGGGATAGGCAACTTTGGAGAAACAAGTAAAAAAAAAACCTGGTTTTTCGGGAGACTTTCAACAAATATACCTAAAAATGTAATTATCTTCCATAAGGTTTTAAGTGAACATACTCTACAGATGTACAGCACAAGGAGAATACATATTTAAAGAGATACACATTTTGTTTTCAGTATTTATTCATGGTACTAGTCATGAGTAGCAATGCTTTCTTAATCTCAGTCAAACACTAGCTCGTCATTTAGTTTGAATTTCTTTAGACTAGTGCCTTGCTCAAGGGCATACCAACCGAAAAATAATGGCAATACATAATGGGTTCAATATCAAGCTATTTAATACTTTGAAGCTTTTACCCTCAACTTTCTGAGTTTAATATGACTTAAAAAGAGAAAATGTTAATCAAGGCTATTCCACCCTTCACAGAGATTGAAATATATCAGTGTGTATATAATATCTCACTAAAGCACACTGTGACTACTTCTTTGAGTAGGATTGTAAGTCTTTCTGAGAAGCAGATTGTTGGGATTTAATGAGTTACTTATTTAGTTAGTGGACGTAGTATAGTCGAGACAAAAAGTTATTTTCTATTGCAGCTTCTTTCCCGTTTGCCACTGAACTAACTTAACCAAACACTGACAATTGAAATCAACATGCAACACAATATATAAACGTCATTTATACCACTGTTACTTCAAACTCTGCAGCCATGTCTTGAGAATGACCACAATAATAATCAGCTGTCGAAATAAAGCTTAGTAGTATTCATCCAGCTCGGCGTCTTATTTCAGTTTGTGAGAGCTTTTCAGGATTTGAACTTACAGGGTTTAATAAATAAATCAGATTTTCCCTCTTGTTATTGAACCCATCAGCACATCACGCTACCAGATCCCACTGAGTGTCTTCTCTTAAACGCGCTGTCCCTCCTCTGTTTGTCCCCTGCAGCAGTTCATGGAGCTGGAGCCGGAGATGTTGGCCACAGAGACCGTCGTCCCCGTGTACTTCGCCATGGAGGACGACGAGCTGCTGTCCATCTACACCCAGACCCTGACCTCCTCCTCCTCTCAGGGCTCCCTATCGGCCGCCGAAGGTACAAATCACTCCCTTTACACCGGACCTGCTGAAGGGCTTAGATTGTTTGCATTTGTTAGAAAGATCTCACTCGGCTTGTGCTTCAATCTCAGGATCCATGTATCTGTGATCCTCTCCAGAATGGAAGTAGTCATCACATACAGAGCATCAACTAGTTCCTGAACAGTGTCCTTCACATGCTGATATACAAGAGAGGGAGTTCCACAGTCACAAGATGGAGGAATAGAAAGCAGTATTCAATGTTTACTTCAGATTAGCTCCACGTCAGAAATGAGCATGCTTGTCATATGTCTCTCTCCATAGAGGCTGAATCATCATGTTAATCACATAAGGCACGTTCACACCAAGTACTTTTCCCACAAAGGTTCCTGAGAACTCTTTAGTTCTCATAAACTAAGTACAGATCACGTTCACACTGGAATAAGTCCCTGGGGGTGGATTAGGCAAATGAAGCCGCTGACGTCACTTCTTCTTCTTCTGCTTTGGGTTTACTGGCAGGCCGCAAACAACTTCACGGCGTATACTGCCGCCCAAAATCCCCGGCCGGAAGTCCCCGGTGTTAGGGACTGGCTTCAGTAGAAGCTGCTGGGACTCCCAGCAGCTTCTACTGAAGCCTTCCAAGTAAACGGCCAGAACGCCGACACCTCCTCATCTCCACCGCTCCCATGTTTTATTTTGTGTTGCCATAAGTTAGTCTCTCTGCGTTTCTGCGCTGGGCTAATGCTAATGCTAATAATGCAAAGAGAGGATAATAAAATGGCGGCTTCACAAAATTTTTTGGGAGTTTGACGGGGCGTGGTTTGCATTCCGCCCAGCCAATCAGACACAGGAACCTTTTTCTCCCACGAAACTCCCTGCTCTCTAGCAGGGACTGAAAAGGGGGTAAAAAAGGTTCTCAAGAACTAATTTAGTTCCTGGGACTTTTTGGTGTGAACGCAACTAAATCGTAGTTCTCAGGAACCTTTGTGGGAAAAGTACTTTGTGTGAACGCGCCTATAGCTATCATATGCCTCAAACAGTCCTGATGCTCTTCTAGGTAATCACACATCCTGTCATGTTCACAGCTACAGTTGGGATACCTTTGTCATCATGTTACTCTCATGTTGGAAGAGGACATTCAGTGTTTCCCCAACAGCATTTTATACAGTTTTGATCATTGCTAAATATGTTTTCTGTTGATCCCTGCAGTGCTGCTGCACACGGCCACAGCTAACGGCTTCCAGATGGTGACCAGCGGAGCTCAGAGTAAAGCCATCAGCGACTGGGCCATCACCAGCTTAGAGGTGAGAGACTTTATCGTATTCATTGGAAAACTGTGCCTGAATCGGCTGGTTAAAATGTTTTTCGTTTTTTAAATGATACTGGTTGTGACGTAAAACATTTGATACCCATGGCTGCTACAAGTTGATGGTTAATTGCAATTCCTGTTTCTATTTAGATGTATTTCTCCCACATAGAAGTGCAGTTGTTTGGCTTTGAAACTACACTTTCAATGATGTTCTTAATCTAAATGGCTGATCATTAAAAAGGTGCAATTAAAGGCAAAGGAGTGTCAAATAATCTCTAGATAGTGTTCTGCAAAAAAGATTCACCTCTTGCTTCCTGTAGTTTGTATAACTCACAGATAGCAGTATTGTGTTTTTATATTTAAATTATTTAGATATTAAGATAATAACTTAACTAAGATAAACCTTCATAAATCCCCCAAGGAAACATGTGGTATTATAACAGCATCAGAATAAAGGTAAAAACAAAGAATAGAAAATACTTTACCCAGGGATAATAAGAATAAACATGTCAGTAACAGTATAAATAAAAAATAACAAGACACCGAGTAGCTGTATTCGCATATTTACAGAGTGAAGATTATTATGAATGACTGAATACATATATATATATATATACATGTCTGTGTGTTCTTGAAAGTGTGAGTGAAGTCTTTATCCTCAGTATTTGTGTTTCTGCGAGGCGTTTGTGGAACCTAAAATGTAAAAGGAGGAAGGTCCGAGCAGTTTTCCGCACACAGGAATAAGCCGTGATGCAGACGGTGGTTTAGTGGTTAGAGCTGTCGACTGGAAGCAGGAAGGACCTTGATTTAACTCGTCTGGGTCCTTCCTTTGAGAGCTGTGCTCTGTAGAGTTTATTCTGGTTTCCTCTCACGGTCTGCAGGCCTGACGCTCAAATGTATATACGTTTGCTTCTATGACGAGATCATTATCAATTACAAAGCATCCAAAACACTCATATTTGTTTGTAGATATGGTGAGGCTTCAGTAGAACATTACATGCCTGTATTTAATTATAGAAAAAGGTGTTTTTTTTGTTCAATGAATGCTCTTATAAAGGTTCTGTCTTCATGCCAAAGCTTTGGGAAATGAACTAAAGGCTTCTTTGACTTTAAAGCTGTATAATGCATTAGAAACAAACTCAGGCCATGTCTCCACCTGTACATCGTGTTAACTGGGGTATTCATAACTTCATTTGATACCACTGAAGAAGGGCAGGGTTCCCGCGGGGTCTTAAAAAGTCTTACATTTGATCATCTGAATTTTTTACCTTAAAAAGGTCTTAAATATGATTTAGAAGGTCTTAAAAATGATCGGGTTTGAAAGGCACTTCTGTGTTTCGAATCTTGCTATCGCGTCTAAATGTGTTTTGGGGGAAATGTCCGGGCTGCAAAATAACCAGTACGGTAATAGCCTTTCGGTTCCCCCCCAACAATCTGTATTGAAATAAATCAACATGGAACCAGTAATCACTAACTTTCTTTCCCCCGGCCCCTTATCGGAGAATACCTAGCTAGTAACCTAGCAACCAACCAAGCTTCAGCTAGCGGCAGTCAGAAACCTTGGTATCTTCGAATCTTCTTAAAAATTAATATGGGGAAGTGTAAGTTCAACCGTATTTGGTTGGAAAACATCTAATTTAGTGCTTGGTTGAAACCAGTGGAGGGGAACGTGTTTGAAGCCCGCCGCACCTTTTGCAAAATAAATTAGCGTTTGTTTTGCTAATGTAGCGTTAGCTAGTGGAGTGTTAGCTAGTGCAGCAGCTCCCGCAACAACACCGGGGGACCTCCGGGCGACGTGTGGGTCTACGTCAACCCTAAAAGCGGAGGTGCTGTAGACGCTAAATACCGTAGCTAAACACCAATCATACAACAGCAACGATGAAATAGTGTAGCCAATTTATTAGGGGTCTGAAAATGCTCTTGTCACTCTCTCTCTCTCTCTCTCTACACACACACACACACACACACACACACACACACACACACACACACACACACACACACACACT